ACGTGTCAGTCCCTCAGCCATGTCCCACCCTCTGTGACCCCATGGACTGTAGCCCGCCTGGCTCCTCTGTCCCTGGAATTCTGCAGGCAAGAATACACTCACCCCCGACCCTCATTTCAGACCAAGACAAGCCCCCAGCAAGGCTCTGAGCAGCTGAGAGGGGGGCTGAGCCCTGGCTCCCCGGCTCAGCAGAGGGGCAGTGAGAGCCGGCACCACCACACGCTCCCCTGCTGGGCCCCACCGCGGACCGCAGCTGGACTCCCCTCGGGAAGCTCCCTGCTGCAAGACACAAAGCCCCCTCAGCAGACTCTGGCCCCCGAAGCAAGCCCCATCCCCGCTTCAGAGGGCAGGCGCTCAAGATCCAAAGCTCAGTCCTGCGCCCCACAGCCTGGCCTCACCCCCCAAACCCCAGACCAGCAAGGACATAGGACGGACACACGGAGCCCGTCATTCCATCACGGGGCCCGAGGAAGCCCCCAGAGAGAGCAGGAGACACCAGCTAGACCGCCATTCATCCAGGGAGAAGGGGCCGCCCAGGCGCGGGCCCCAGAGTGGCTGGGAGCCTCCAGGTCCCACGGCCTGCACCCTCCCCAGCTGAGTCACTAGGCCCCTGCCAGCTGGGAGGGTGCCCAGCAGCCAGCTCCAGGGAGCACCGCCCCCCCACACCGCCCCGCTGCCCTGGGGCATGCAAACGCCCGGCTCAGCTGGACAACGCTGCTGATGCCAGGCGCCCCGCCCCGGGGAGCCCCCGGAAGCTGGTGGGGCTCTGTCCAGGCTCCAGACAGCGCGGGGGGCCGGATCCAGGGATCTGACCCCAGGCAGCAAACACTCAGCACCAGCTCGGCCGAGCCCTGGCCCAGCCCGGAGCCCACCACTGCGCGCCAGCGTGGTCACAGCTGGGGGCCCTGGGGGCAGGACACACAGAGGCTCGCCACCCCGGAGCCAGCGTGGAACGGTGTCTGGGGTGGATGGGTCTTCCTGGACAGAGGTGGAAGGGTCTCCCGGCCTCCCACCTTAGGAGCCTGGCCCCATCACCCCGGGCCGTGCACGGGATGAGCCCACAGCCTCCTTGGCGGCCTTCAGACTCGACGTCCAGCTCGGGGAAAACGCAAAACAGTGCTGGGACCGCAGGACTGGGCGGTGGTTCTGGAATCCGCAGGGCCGGGGAGGACAAGAACCCCCCTGCCCGGGTGAGCGAGAGATTCACGAGCGTGAAAGGAGGATTGATCCCTTTCCCCCATCGGGGCAATAATCCATTCAGCAACCGTAATGACACGTGGAAGTCGCAGTTCCGAGCTGCCCCCTCGGCGTGGCGCATCTGGGTGGCAGTTGGAGCAGACCCCCAAGCAGGAGCCCTGCACCCCCGGCAGCCGGGGCCGGCTGTCCTCCACAGGGCGCTCGTCGGGGCGGGGCTGGGCCCAGGGTCCAGCTCAGCAGCCCTCCCCGCGAACCCGGCCGCCGTGGGAGGGATAGTCCGGGCCCTCTGTCATTCAGCAAACTTCTCTGGGGGACCCAGTCCCACGCCTGCCCTGACACAGTGCCTGGCCTGGGAGAGGGACACCGGCCGCAGAGACCACGCAGCGGCCGCGGGGAGGAAAGGGGCGGGTGGGAAGCGGGGACGATGAAAGGGGTCCGCGGGAACCCGGTGACCAATCTGCCAGCGAGAACGGGGCCTCGGTTCTGACCCCGGACACGGAGTGGCCAGTGCTAAGCTGGGAGGCACTCGGCTGTGGCCGAGGAGGAAGGCCCAGCTTCGGGCCCTGGCTGCAGGGCGGGGGGCGCCGGGAGCCCCCAGCAGAGGCCGCTCAGAGGCAGGGGCAGGGAGAAGAGATCACTGCCCAGGGACGTGCGGGCGCTGGGGAGGCGCGGCCCAGGGAGACCACGGGACCGTCCAAACCACGCGGCTCCGGGCCCCGCAGGACGCCCAGGGGCCACTCAGAAACGAGGCGCGGGATCCTGTGAGGGCAGAGGGGCCCCAGCCCGGCCCCTCCCCGCCAGGCCAGCCTCCCGTCTGGGTTCAGGCGGGACAGCCTCCAGGTGGGCTGGAGCCTGGGCGGGCAGAGCGTGTTCCCTCCCCTGTGTCCTCAGGGGCACCGGGGCTCAGAGGGGGCGGGGGGCACATCCTATCCGCTCTGGGGAGGAGGTCCCTGGACGGGAACCGCAGTTACCCTCACCGCCCAGATGGAGAAACCGAGGCAGCCAGGGAGACACAGGCTCTCCACCCAGGTCGCCCAATGGCTGGGTAGGTCTCAACTGCCACCCACCCCCCCGTGGGCACCAAAGACCCGGACACAGCGTGACCCCGAGCCCACATCCCAGGAAGAGCACCCAGGGCCAGACACGGCCCCACACACCTGGCCAAGGGGTGCAAAGGGGTCCTGGGTGCTGTCGTTCAGCGCTCTGTCGTGTCCGACTCTGCGACCCCATGGACTGCAGCACGCCAGGCCTCCCTGTCCATCGCCATCTCCCAGAGCGTGCTCAAACTCAGGTCCATTGAGTCAGTGATGCCATCCAGCCATCTCATCCTCTGCCGGCCCCTTCTCCTCCCGCCTTCAGCCTTCCCCAGCACCGGGTCTTTCCCAGTGAGTCAGGTCTTCGCAACGGGTGGCCAAAGTGTTGGCCCCGGGTACAGACAGGGAAATCGAGGCCACGAGCTCTCAGCGAACCTGCCCGGGGCCCCACAGCAGGGAGCCGTCCGTCTACTGGCAGAAGCGGGTACGAAGAGCAAGCAAGGGGTCAAGCCCTGGCCGGGATTCCGAGGGCAGAGGACGGGGTGGCTGCGGGCTGGCGGAACGATCAGCCTCCATCCACACCTGAGACCCAGCAGGGACCCCTGAGGCGAGGGCCTCCGGGCCAGGCGGGGGCCCAGCTGCACCCTCACTCACCCCCAGCCCCAGGAGCCCAGCAAGCCACTTCCTGCCCTGGGCCTCCCCAGATGCCCCGAGCGTGAGCCTGGGTGAGATGACAGCCAACAAAGCTCTCTGTGAACTGCTGAGCTCACCTCCTCGGGACCAGAAGCAAGAAAGGGCCCCCCAGGAAAATTCTAGGAACCACCTCTGCATTCCAGAGCCTCTGCTTCCTGAGCAGAGCCCAGCGCCCCTGGACCGTGGGGCCAGACTCCTGGGAGGACCCACAAGACCTCAGCCAGAGCCGGTCACCCAGCGCCCCAGCACACAGGGATGCCCTACCATCCCTCCCACGCTGAAAGCAGAAGCAGCCATCCAGGCACCGCCTTCCCCGCTGCCCCGAGGGAAGCTCTGGGCAGGCCTCTCCTGGCCTGCCCACCCAGGACAAGGGCACCCGCTGAGACCCAACCACCCGTCCCGGGGCCCGGGAGGCCCGGCCCGAGAGCCCGCAGTCCCCTTGGGCCTGCCTGCATCCCCTCCGGAGAAACAGTAAACGACAGGGCCTTCCCTCCCTCGGGCACAGCAACCCCCAGATTGAACAGCACCCCCAGAAAGGCCCCTGGAGGCTACCCCCAGCTGACAAAGGAGGAAACGGCACGGGAGGGGACCACAGAGAGGAACCAAGCTTAGGACCTTGGTCTGCTGGGTGCCAGGGACAGTTGGGGAAGTGGGTGAGCCCCCAGCTGGCACTGAGGGGTACCCGTCGCCAAACTCAAACTTGGGGAGCCCAGGGGAGGTGGAAGTGAGCACTCTGGGTGTCCAGGGCCTTTCCTGGTGAGCTGTCTGCAGAAAAAGACCACTGAGACCTCCCAGGTGAGGGACCCTGAGTCCACCAGTGACTGGTGTGACCTGGAGCTCTCGCCACCAGGATCACCTGCCCACCTGCGACCCGCCAGCCGCACGTCCAGCACCACCAGGCAAAGCCCGACTCCGTCACTAAAGCCCCTCCTCTCTCTGACCTCATCTGCCCCCAGTGGGGGAGCACGATGGCCCTGTGCCTCTGACGCCCCCAGCGTATATCCGCAGACATGCTCTCCCAGGGCCTGAAGGGCTGGTGGTGTGTTTTTAAGCAAACTCAGGCCATCCGGGGCACAGAGCTTGGCAAAACTGCACACTCCAACACCACCCCCCCACCCCCCCCCCCCCACCCCCGCTCAGAGCAGCAGATGTAGGAGGTTCCAGCCCCAACCCAGGCCAGGCCACAGGCCCCTCCCCCGACCGCCAAGAGAGGGTGCCCGGGACACACACCAGACTCACGGTCCCCTCCTGCCCCCTGCCCACGCCCACACTACAGGGAACACAGCTGGACTCCAGGAGGCCAGGGTCTCGCCCAAGACCGCGGGGCCTCCTTGGAGAACTATATTTAGATTCAATGGGGATTATTCGGCCTTACTTCCCAGGACAGCTTTCAGAAAGGCTGCAGGTCAGGCGGGAAGGGCTTCCTCTGGAGACCCCCGCCCCCCCATCTTCCCAGGCTGTGCAGACTTCCAGGGTGCATTGTTTCTGGAACAATGGTCCCCACTCCTTCCAAGACCAGGGCGAGCCCATTGGCTGCAGATCTCAGCAGGGCCCCGGCCCCTGGCAAACACCTTGGCAGCTGGACGGGAGCCTGGGAGAGCACCCGGATGACCACGGCCTCCAGTGGCAGCGCCCCAGAATGCGTCCCTCACGCGACTCTCGCCCAGGAGGCGGGAAGGGAGCAGCACGGGGTCCCCTCAGTGCTGGCCCTCCCAGCCCTCCCGCCCCAGGTGTGCAGTTTCCAGACACTTGGCTGGGGGCCCAGGTGCCCCAGGGCCACAACGCGCCGGGTGACCTCTTCTGCAGGCAGGGTAGGAGCCGTCCCACCCAGGGTGGAGGCCCTGCCACCTCCCTCTCTCCCCTCCCCCTTCCACACACAGACTGGGTTCCAGCTGCCGCCCCACCCAGGCCCCCTCTGAGAATGAAGCCCCCCAGGGGTGTTACAGACAGAAACCCAGGAAGCAGGGGATTGGCCAAAAATCCATGGTGGAGACTTGCACCTGCCTCCAGCACCCTAGTCTCCCAAGTTCCAGCATGGGCCCTGCCCTGGGGACCGGCGGAGGAAGAGTCACTTACCCGGAGGGGTGTCCCAGGCCCGCTGACCAGCTTCCAGGCCTGTCGCTTGAGCTCGGCGAGCTTCGTGTGGCAGTGACGGCACCATCCGCCCCCACCGGCCGAGTGGCCTTGCTCTGCGCCCGGCCCGGCGCCCTCGGGCGCAGGGCGGCTGCCGCATGGGTCGTGCTCGGGCCCGGCGGTCAGCCTCTTGCGGGGGGACACTTCCAGCAGCTGCAGCGGCTCGCGGACCGGGCCGCCCTCGGCCACCTGCGGGAGGGGAAAAGGGGACAGTGAGCCTGAGCTGCTGGGCCACCCCTGGGTCCTGCCCAGGACCGGCGACTCCAGACCTCGGAGCGCCCCAGCCCCAGGGTGACGCGCTCGACAAAAGTTAGGAGCGCTGGGCGCCGACCTGCAGCCCACCGCGTTCTTCCATCCCAGAAGGTCCTGACCCGGCTCCCCCTACCCCAGCAGGAGGCCCGGCGCCACCCGCGCGGTGATCCAGGCTCCGCCCCCAGGGGACGCCGTGTGCCCCCCGCCCGCCCGCCAGCCAGCATCCTCGGGGTCCCTGGATCAGTCACCGCCCGCGGCCCGCAGTCACGCGCCTCCCTCTCGGGCCCTCAGCGCGTACCGCGGGTTGCGCCGCGCAGAGGGGGCCGTCGCGACTGCCCATGGCCCTGACGCAGGAAGGGTTGGGCGGGCGCTTCGGGGCCACCCGGGCTCTCCAGGGGCGCCGCGGCTACGTGATCCGGCCCAGGGACGCCCCCATAGCCCGTCCGGTCGCTCCGAAGTTCGCGGCGCGGGCGAGTGGAGAACACAGCTCGGCGGCGGCGGCGGCGGCGGCAGGTCGCGTTCCCCCCCCACTCTGTCCCCGCCGCCCAGGCCTTCGCTCCGCAGCGCGTGGGGGAAGGGGTCCCGCATCGCAGCGCGGCCCCACCCGCTCCGAGGCCCCCCAACCTGTTAGGCGAGTCTCAGTCCCAGGGAGGGGCGCTGGGGGCCCTCAGTGAGGTACTCCGTACATGCGCGCACGCGCGCCTGGCCTCTCCGCTCCCGGGTCACTGGGGTCTCCTGGGACGCACCAACCCACTCGCCACTTTACAGGCGGGGAAACTGAGACCGCCGTGGGGAAGGTCTTGCCCAAGGTCACACATCGAAGTGGAAGGGGATGAGCCCCGGCCCCCGGACTCCCGATCGCTTTCCCCTGAAAATCCAAAGCACTCCGCGTGTCCCCAAGACCACCGTCCGGGTCTGTCGCGCGTGGGTGAGGGTCGCCGCGGTCTGCGCCCCGGAACGTGCGCCGCTCACACCGGTGCATCTGCTGTGTCTAGGCGTGTCGGCAGACAGCACGCGAGGCTTCGCAGCCGCGCGCGTGCAAGAAGGCGAGTGTGCGCGCCGTGCGCCGGGGAAGCGGGAGGAGGTGGCCCCGGGGGTGCGCGCGGGACCTGTTGTCAGCCGGCCTGGCAGATGGGAACTTAGCTGCGGAATTAATTGCCTGTTTGTCTCCGGCTGGGAGGTCGCCCCCCCTCCTGCTCCGGCGACCAGTTGCTCCCGCTCCGGCTCGGGCCTCGGGGTCGCCGCTCCCCGAGACCGCGGGCGGCGCGGCGTCCGGGCTCTGGATCCGCCCGAAGCCCCGGTCCGGGTCGGCGGGCGCGGCCGCCCGGCTGCTCGTGACGCGGGCGCCCCCTGCTGGTTGCCGCGCCCCCGCCGCCGCCAGGCTCCGGGGAGACGGCGCACCACGCGTCCCAAGCGGAGAGGCGCGCCCAGGAAAACCGTGGTCCGGGTGGAGACCCCAGCCGCTGCGCTCTCCCCGGCACGCAGGGAGACCCTCAGCACAGATTCCACCCGCTCCCCGCCTCTCCTGAGCCTCTTAAAGCGACGACTCCTTTATGTTTTGCCCCCACCCTCCCTGTCGCTTGAACGGGCCTCACTCCCCAAAATAGAGAGGAGAGCGGTGATCATCCCCCTCCCGCCTCTCCGAGTCTTTAATGGCCTGCATCGCGGCGGGGGCCGCACAAAGTGGGCAAAGGCTCCTCACTCTCACTCCACGGCCCCACGCCGTCCAGCCCGTTTCCACCCGGCCCGGCGGCCGAAGATCCCGTCTTTCCCAGCTCCTCTAAGCCTCCTAAAGGACAAGGGGCGTTAGCTCCCCGTCAGCATCCCCCGCCCCGCAACTGCTCCGGGACACGGACACACACGCACACACGCAGGCCCGGGAAGCGCGGCTGTCTGTAGCACTCCCACGCGCACACTCCCCACCTGCACCTCCAGAAACACCTCTGCCCAGGAGCCCCGGCCCTGCGTCCGGGACCGGCCACGCCCGCAACTTTGTCCGCACGGTTGCGACGCTTCCAGAAGCACACGCTCGCACCCTGCACGCGGGTTCCCAGGAGTGGTCAGACTCAGCCCCGCAGAACCTGGACCACCTCGGGACTCGGAATCTGCCCCGAGACCCCGGCCCTCTGCCTCGCCCTCCCCAGCAAGGCGCGCGGTGGGACGCCGACGGTCCCGGTGAGCGGAGGCAGGGCAGCACCGACGGGGGAAAGTGCGGCCCGGCCTGCTGGACGCTGCTCGGGACCTGCCGCCTCTTTCCCGCACAGCGAGCCGCGGGAGCCGCGCCGCAAAGTCGCGGGACGGCGCCGCTGCCACCAGCCGGGGTCCGCCGCCTGGCCCTCACCTTGGTTCGGCGCCGCAGGAGGTGGCTGGTGAACCCCAGGATGATCTCCGAGTCCAGGCAGAGCGCCCCCATCTCCAGCAGGCTGGGCACCTTGCGGGGCGCGCCGCGGGGCGGCTCGGGCGGCCCGGGCAGCGCCATGGAGGAGCGGAGCGCGGGGAGCGCAGCGCGGGGATTCCGTGCCGCGCGCCCCCGCGCTCCGGCCCCTCCCGCCCGCGCCGACAGCGCCCCCTTCGCCCGCGCGGCGAGCCAGACTCCCGGACACACAGACTCGAGGAGCCGGGCGGGGGGCGAAAGCCCTGCAGGCCATGGGTTGGAGGATGGGGGCCAGGAGCTGGCCTGGGTCTGCACCCCTCTGCTTCGCGCACCTCCTACGCGCTGCTCTGACGGCGAAGCAGAACGACCTGGAGGCAGCGCCAAGGGATTCCCCCAAACCAACCTCCAGTCCGCCCAGGGGACCCCGCATCTTGGGGCCCCCCGTCCCTGGCCACGTAGAGGGAGTCCAGTGACCTTGCGATCCCCCGTCTACCCACAGCTACTCTGTCCGGGGTCCCTCCTCGGAAGCCCTCCACCCCACACCCCAACCTGGGCCTACCGACTCCTAAGGCCCACCCCACCAGGACCCCAGAGTGCCTCCACTCCAGGGACCCCGATTCCGCACCCACCTACATCCTTCTCTGCCCTTGACCTGGGCTCCTCCGGCCGATCCTGGGACTCCCCGCTGGCTGGAGGATCCCTGCTCTTCACCGGGCGCGACCAAGGGTCGGAGTCTGTGGCAGGATGCTCGGGGAGCAGGGGGTGGATTCTACTGTGATACAACTCGGGCCTGAATCCCGCGCTCCTACTGTGCGCAGCCCCCAGCCTCGCAGGCTGACGGAGCAGCCCCTGGGGCGCAGGCCGGGCAGTGGGACGCCTGCCTGGGGAGGATGGTGCCCCAGGATAGACTAAATAACTGAGGGCCACAGGGAGGTCTTTGGGATTTAAGGCGCCTGGGCCAGGGGGCGGGGGGGCAGTGTATTAGGGACCCTGCCAGGGGCAGATGAACCTGAACAGGACCTGGAAGGTAAGCAGGCGCAGAGAGAAGACCGAAGCACCAAGAGCCTGGAGGTCTCGGCACCGGGACCTTCCAGAGACACAGGCGCGCTGTCAGCCTGACAGGACCCTGGGCCAGCCTCTGCAGCCCCCTCTGCACCCTGGGAAGGACCATGAATCTCTCGCCCCTCCACTCTTCGTCTGCTGGGAGACCCTCATGCTTCCCGGAGTTCCACCCCTGACATTCCTAGTGGCAGACGGAAGACTTTATCTCCACCTGACTACACCAATGGGCTCGCCATAAACGCCTTATCTGCTGGGCACAGGACTGCATGACCACTGCTCTGCCCACTGGGGCCTCGGTTGGTCAAGACACCCCAGGGGGAGCTGCCCGCCTCCCTGTCCTCGTGGTCAACCCTGGCCTGGGGCAGAGATCGGGACAAGCCGTAAAGGGGGCCAGAGTGCCCCACTCTCTCCGCCCAGCCCCCTCCTCTCTGCTCCAGAAGGCCACCCCGGGGACCTCCCAGCCTGCTCCCTCAGGCTCTGCTGAGGACTGTCCCGCCTCCCCTGTCCTCCAACACCCTGCGCCTGGGGGGGCTTCCTCCAGTGAGCCCTGCTTTTCTGGGAGCCGGCCCCCACCACCTAGGTGGATTGATTAAAGCCATCATGGGGATTTTTTTTAACATTTAATTTACCAAGCACGCCGCGGCCAGTCAGAGCTGTCCCCAGGGAAATCTAGGCCAAGGGAGCAAAAGAGAAAAACCCCAGCAATTGAGCAGAGCTCTGACAGGATTAATTGCAGGACTCAGCTTCCAATCAGACCCCACGTGGCAATATTTCAAGAAGGCGGGAGGACACCAGGCTGCAGTGGTCAGATTCCTGAACTGGATATGGGGAACCCAAGCTCACCATACCACTGCCACCATGATCTGCTGGGGACACTGGAAACTGCCCCCCCACAACTCCACATGCCACCCAAGTTCCGCCAGGGGTTTCCAGCACACCCCCAGCCAGCCTTTCAAAGAGGGGCCAAGCCCTTCCAGCCAGCAATCTGAGAGCCAGGCAGGCACCCTCCCAGGCATCCACGCTGCACTTCGGAAGATAAACACCTGGCAGCTGTTGCTCCGTGATGGTGGGAAACTGGACCAGTGGGCAAGTGGGCAGCAAACCCTAACAGTTGATCCTTGGTGAGAGCAGACAGAGGTTGAAGACCGGGGCTCCTGGAAAGATGCCCAGACAGTGTGCACTGCACGGTGAGGTGTGTGCTTCTGGAGGGCGTTTATGCCCATAAAGGCCCGGGCCTTTCCTGGGGGAGATGCTGCAGACAGGTAGGAGTTGCTGCTTCAGTGCAGAAGAGAGGGTGGGCCAGGGAGAGGCCATGTGGTCTTAACTCTCATCCGGTTTTTAGCCATGAGTTTCAGTATTTAATCAAGAGGTCAGCAGGGGTTGGAGTGCCTACGCTGCCAGGCATAAACTGCTCTGAGGTCCGAGACCTAGGACCACACTCAGCATGAATCAGCCCCTCCCCCCTTCCACAGACAGGGTGGGGGAGAAAAAGGGGGCTTGCAACCCTCCCAGCTTCCCCGTGTCTGGTCAGCTCCCCAGGGTCCCCGTCAGCGCCCCTCCAGAAGGCTGGGCTCGTGTCTGCCGTGGGGAAGTTTGCCTCCGGAGGGCAGCCCGTGATGACAGCCCCACTGTGTCCATGAGAGAAGCGCGCCTCTGCTCAGGGCAGGGACCCCTGACCAGGCTTCGCCCCTCCTCCTCCTCCTCAGCCCCCGGGGTGGGGTGGGGCCGGCTTCGGGTTGGGAGCAGGTCAGCATTTTTGCCGCTTCTCCTCCAGGGTCGGCTGAGTGTGTGATGGGGCTCGGGGAGGGGGAGGCTCTCATCTTATTCTCAGAGCAACCCTAGGAGCGGGGGGCTGCTTCGATCCCTACCACAGGCAGAGTGTGAAGTTGCCAGAACGCATCCCA